GGGGCCCGGCCTGGGGGGAGATCGCCCCACTCCACCCCAGAACCCGCGAAAACACCCATGGGCAACCCCCCCACCGCCGGCGGGTCCCTTCTCTCCGGGCGCAGGAGCTCACCGGGACTAGCGGGGCAGAAGTTTTGGGTGTAAACGGTGCCGCGTTTTCCGGAATGACTGAATTTTAACTCGTAGATGAAGATGACGTGCATAAGTGTGGTCGCTGCCAGTCGGAGTTCACCTCCCTGGAAGAATTCGTGCAGCACAAGTTGCAGAAGGTCTGTCAGCGCGCTCCAGAAGCTCTGGCTGCTGCTGCCTCGGCGGGTCTCCTCAACCAAGAAGTACAAAAGGTGACAGCAGGCTTCTCCTCAAGCCGTGGCTCAAATAATTAGGATGCAACGGTCTGTTGGGTTGGAGGGGAGAGAACAGAATACAATGTTTTTAAAGGTAATAAAACCTTTCTGCTAAAAATGTTATCTGTTACAGCAGGTTGTTCCTTCTGTCGAAGAGTCGATAACTGTTGCTCATATAGTTGTTGAAGCATCTTCAATAGCAGAGGAAATCAGCAACGCATCAGCTATAGTAGGTGAGCTTCCAGACGCTTGCCTTCATGCCCCTGCTGGGTTAGGAACAGTTTACTCGTCCGGTGTCCTCTTCTGTTTGATTTGTGTTGTACCGGGGTACGTGACACCTCATTCTTACTGTGACTTGAGACTGAGCGTCACCTCAAAGGTGTAAAAGAGGTATCCTTAGGCCAGCTTTGCAACTCTCTCCACATTAATACAGATTAGATTTAGAAATCTATTCTAGAAATGTCCGTTTTAATATTTATGCTGCAATAATGAGAACTTTGCAAAGACCCGTGTTCCAGGTTTAAAGTAACTCTTTCTCCTTCCCACTGCATTAAATGCTGAAACAGTAAATTGCTCTAGTTGTGTCAAGCTCTCTTCTGTAAAGAACATAACTGTCTTTGTATCCTTTTTCCAGGTAGTGGGCACATCAAAGAAGTCATTGTTGCAGGAGACCACGTTTTCGAAAACCCAAATGGTGGGGTCGACGGGGAAGTCACTGAAGAGCAAAGCAACCCTGACGATCAGGAGCAGGATATTTCCACAGAGCTGATAAAGGTTAAGCTGCTGGTTAACAAAGAAGGGCGATATGTATGCGAATTGTGCCAGAAGACATTTAAAACAGTAAGTATCGTTTGTTCTGTTTGGGCTAGTCAGTTATTTAGGCTAGCTCTTAACCAAGATTCCTAAGACTCAAGAGCAATGTGCTTCTCTACTGCATGTTACGCTTTGAAAAGGAAAGTTCTCATTTCAGAAGAGGCATTGTTGTTCTTTACAGTTGAAATGTAAAATCTTTAACCACTTGGAACATCTTTTAAAGTAAAATTCTTTCCATAGGCAAGCATCCTCAAAGCTCACATGATCACTCATAGCAGCAGAAAGGACTATGAATGTAAACTCTGTGGAACATCCTTCAGGACAAAAGGGTCTCTGATTCGACACCATCGGCGTCACACTGGTAAGACAGCTCTCCAAAATAAGAGTTCCTTGTTGCTGGAGTGCACACCACGTGTGGTTATCCAGCTTCTGGTGGAATTTATTGCTGCTTTCCATCTTCTGCCGAGTCGAGACTGTGGAGCTTTCCGATATTTGGGGTGCAGGGAGGCAACGTGAGGTCCTGGGATAAGCACACTCTGCTCACTGTAGAAAGCTGAAAGCGTTCTTCTGTCAGTCTGTTGCATAGAGCTAAAACTGGCCATGGTTAGTTTAATGCTGTTGTTTTTGATTCTTGTCATTTCCAGATGAAAGACCTTACAAATGCAAGAAATGTGGGAAAAGCTTCCGGGAATCGGGAGCTTTGACTCGGCACCTGAAATCTCTGACACCGTGCACTGAAAAAATTCGCTTCAACATGAACAAAGAAATAGTAGTCAATAAAGATGATTTGCCAACAGGTCAGTGATGCTGTCAATACCTGCCTTGCCTTTCATAAAACCAACCCTGCTCCTGACAGTTGAAGTCATTCGTTGTGCTGCTTTTTCTTGAAGGATCCTGTAGTTCAAACGCAGACACCATTCCATCGATAGCGAGTGAATCCATTGAGGCCTCACCCGTCATTCACCTCGTGACAGATGCAAAAGGGAACGTTCTTCACGAAGTCCACGTCCAAATGCAGGAACTTCCCGTTGTAGATGCGAAATCCCTGGACCAAGACGTGAGTGTTGCTTCTCTGAAATATCCGTCGTCTGTTTTATGCAAAGAGGTATTTTGAAGTATTTCACCTCATAAACAAAATGTTCTTAAGTGCTGAGAATAAATCTGTGTGATGGAAGTAAATGGTTAATTAGCTTCTTTTTCATCTGAGAACACAGAATGCAAACTTTGCTGTGACCTTGTCTGGCCATCTGCCGCTGCTGCTGAGCTTAGGGGCGTGTGTATAGGATACAGGGGGATGTGTAGGGTTAACCATGACCTGCTGGATGATACAGAAGGTGAGAGGGTGTTTTTGTTGACCATTGCCTGCTACAAGACTCTGGTAGGAGCAAAGGCTTATCGACCCTTGGACTGTATGTTTTCAGAGTACAGAATTCACCTCTTTTTCCTTCTTAAGTCCAAGACCGTTCCCTTGTTGGTCTTTGGGCCCTGTATGACAGCATTAGACACCCCAGAAAGAATGACTGTCATAGCAATGTTGCTGTAAAGAAAGGGCTAATTGTGTTATTTGCTGTACTAATCACCAGACTGTTTATTCCTTCAGCAGTCACATCCTGAGGAGCTGCCGTGTGAGGGGGAAGTGAACAGTGAGAATCTGCTGAGGCAGGCCATGAGGAATTCGGGAATTGTGATCGAGAGAGTCGCGATGGAGGAAATGCAAAAGCCAGATGAGCCTCCTGTAGCCACTACAGAAGAACTAGAAAATGAAGTGGTGGAAGCAGAAGAGGAGCCTTGTGGGGAACAGTGTGTTGACGTAGAACAAGCAGAGTCTGTATGTTTGTATTCCATTAATAGATTAATTTTTTAATCTTCCTTGCCTGCACCTGGTTGTGGACAGCCCTGTTAGCCTCACCACCCTGCACGTTACCCTCAGTGCCTCCCTCCCTGTGATGGGGTCTTTGTGTTAATTTTTACTTATGTGTTTCATGCATGCTTTAAGTGTAGTGTTAATATGCATGTGCGCTCTCTCTCCTGTTAACAATATAGATCTTTCTTGTCAAAGCTGGAGTATTTAATGGGGAAATCGATTGGCAACACTAACTGTACATACTAGTATAAAAATACTTATGTTTTACCATTTTCTTTCCGATAGACAGATGCAGAAAGAACAAATGGGTACAAGAGTTACATTTGCCCTCACTGTAACGAAGCCTTCAGTGAAGCTACTTCCCTCGAAACGCACATCAAAGGGCATTTAGGTAAAGCTCTACTGCTTATGCTGTGATCTAAAATGCACTGTGTCTCACTATGATCTTAAGCATAGTACAGCTTTGTTTGTTTCACATTCCTTGCCATGACATGGCCGTTAGCCTTGCAGAGTCAATTGATGCTTAACACACAAACATAAAACGTTGGCTTTGGTTGAGGTCTAGAATAGAGGGTAAAA